ACAGTTGCACTCGTGAGTGACTGACTTAATTATTTATGTATACGCTTATTTCAATATATGGCATGCAAGTTCATTATTTGGATATTTAAGTCCTTAACTAGGTGTTATCATTGAAACAGGAATATTTGTACATTTGCACTCGTGAGAGCCTGACTTAATATTTATGTATACGCTTATTTTGTATATGGCATGCATGTTCATTATTTGTATATTTAAGTCCTTAACTAGGTGTAATCCTTAAAACATGCATATTTGTACATTTGTACTCGTGAGTGCCCTACATAAGTATTTATGTATACGCTTATTTTGTATATGGCATGCATGTTCATTATTTGTATATTAAGTCCTTAACTTATATACTAAGGGTAATCCTTAAAACATGAATATTTGTACATTTGCACTCGTGAGTGCCCTACATAAGTATTTATGTATACGCTTATTTTGTATATGGCATGCATGTTCATTATTGTATATTTAAGTCCTTAACTTATATACTAGGTACTTACTTATTTATGTATACGCTTATTTTGTATATGGCATGCATTTTCATTATTTGTATAATTAAGTCCTTAACTAGGTGTAATCCTTAAAACATGCATATTTGTACATTTGCACTCGTGAGTGCCCTACATAAGTATTTATGTATACGCTTATTTTGTATATGGCATGCATGTTCATTATTTGTATATTTAAGTCCTTAACTTATATACTAAGGGTAATCCTTAAAACATGAATATTTGTACATTTGCACTCGTGAGTGCCCTACATAAGTATTTATGTATACGCTATTTTTGTATATGGCATGCATGTTCATTATTTGTATATTTAAGTCCTTAACTAGGTGTAATCCTTAAACATGAATATTTGTACATTTGCACTCGTGAGTGCCCTACATAAGTATTTATGTATACGCTTATTTTGTATATGGCATGCATGTTCATTATTTGTATATTTAAGTCCTTAACTAGGTGTAATCCTTAAAACATGCATATTTGTACATTTGCACTCGTGAGTGCCCTACATAAGTATTTATGTATACGCTTATTTTGTATATGGCATGCATGTTCATTATTTGTATATTTAAGTCCTTAACTAGGTGTAATCCTTAAAACATGCATATTTTGTACATTTGCACTCGTGAGTGCCCTACATAAGTATTTATGTATACGCTTATTTTGTATATGGCATGCATGTTCATTATTTGTATATTTAAGTCCTTAACTAGGTGTAATCCTTAAAACATGCATATTTGTACATTTGCACTCGTGAGTGCCCTACATAAGTATTTATGTATACGCTTATTTTGTATATGGCATGCATGTTCATTATTTGTATATTTAAGTCCTTAACTAGGTGTAATCCTTAAAACATGCATATTTGTACATTTGCACTCGTGAGTGCCCTACATAAGTATTTATGTATACGCTTATTTTGTATATGGCATGCATGTTCATTATTTGTATATTTAAGTCCTTAACTAGGTGTAATCCTTAAAACATGCATATTTGTACATTTGCACTCGTGAGTGCCCTACATAAGTATTTATGTATACGCTTATTTTGTATATGGCATGCATGTTCATTATTTGTATATTTAAGTCCTTAACTAGGTGTAATCCTTAAAACATGCATATTTGTACATTTGCACTCGTGAGTGCCCTACATAAGTATTTATGTATACGCTTATTTTGTATATGGCATGCATGTTCATTATTTGTATATTTAAGTCCTTAACTTTATACTAAGGGTAATCCTTAAAACATGAATATTTGTACATTTGCACTCGTGAGTGCCCTACATAAGTATTTATGTATACGCTTATTTTGTATATGGCATGCATGTTCATTATTTGTATATTTAAGTCCTTAACTAGGTGTAATCCTTAAACATGAATATTTGTACATTTGCACTCGTGAGTGCCCTACATAAGTATTTATGTATACGCTTATTTTGTATATGGCATGCATGTTCATTATTTGTATATTTAAGTCCTTAACTAGGTGTAATCCTTAAAACATGCATATTTGTACATTTGCACTCGTGAGTGCCCTACATAAGTATTTATGTATACGCTTATTTTGTATATGGCATGCATGTTCATTATTTGTATATTTAAGTCCTTAACTAGGTGTAATCCTTAAAACATGCATATTTGTACATTTGCACTCGTGAGTGCCCTACATAAGTATTTATGTATACGCTTATTTTGTATATGGCATGCATGTTCATTATTTGTATATTTAAGTCCTTAACTAGGTGTAATCCTTAAAACATGCATATTTGTACATTTGCACTCGTGAGTGCCCTACATAAGTATTTATGTATACGCTTATTTTGTATATGGCATGCATGTTCATTATTTGTATATTTAAGTCCTTAACTTATATACTAAGGTTAATCCTTAAAACATGAATATTTGTACACTTTGCCTCGTGAGTGCCCTACATAAGTATTTATGTATACGCTTATTTTGTATATGGCATGCATGTTCATTATTTGTATATTTAAGTCCTTAACTTATTACTAAGTGGTAATCCTTAAACATGCATATTTGTACATTTGCACTCGTGAGTGCCCTACATAAGTATTTATGTATACGCTTATTTTGTATATGGCATGCATGTTCATTATTTGTATATTTAAGTCCTTAACTAGGTGTAATCCTTAAAACATGAATATTTGTACATTTGCACTCGTGAGTGCCCTACATAAGTATTTATGTATACGCTTATTTTGTATATGGCATGCATGTTCATTATTTGTATATTTAAGTCCTTAACTAGGTGTAATCCTTAAAACATGCATATTTGTACATTTGCACTCGTGAGTGCCCTACATAAGTATTTATGTATACGCTTATTTTGTATATGGCATGCATGTTCATTATTTGTATATTTAAGTCCTTAACTAGGTACTAGGGTATCCTAAAACATGAATATTTGTACATTTGCACTCGTGAGTGCCTGACTTAATTATTTATGTATACGCTTATTTTGTATATGGCATGCATGTTCATTATTTGTATATTTAAGTCCTTAACTAGGTGTAATCCTTAAAACATGCATATTTGTACATTTGCACTCGTGAGTGCCCTACATAAGTATTTATGTATACGCTTATTTTGTATATGGCATGCATGTTCATTATTTGTATATTTAAGTCCTTAACTAGGTGTAATCCTTAAAACATGCATATTTGTACATTTGCACTCGTGAGTGCCCTACATAAGTATTTATGTATACGCTTATTTTGTATATGGCATGCATGTTCATTATTTGTATATTTAAGTCCTTAACTAGGTGTAATCCTTAAAACATGCATATTTGTACATTTGCACTCGTGAGCCCTACATAAGTATTTATGTATATGGCATGCATGTTCATTATTTGTATATTTAAGTCCTTAACTAGGTGTAATCCTTAAAACATGCATATTTGTACATTTGCACTCGTGAGTGCCCTACATAAGTATTTATGTATACGCTTATTTTGTATATGGCATGCATGTTCATTATTTGTATATTTAAGTCCTTAACTAGGTGTAATCCTTAAAACATGCATATTTGTACATTTGCACTCGTGAGTGCCCTACATAAGTATTTATGTATACGCTTATTTGTATATGGCATGCATGTTCATTATTTGTATATTTAAGTCCTTAACTAGGTGTAATCCTTAAAACATGCATATTTGTACATTTGCACTCGTGAGTGCCCTACATAAGTATTTATGTATATGGGCATGCATGTTCATTATTTGTATATTTAAGTCCTTAACTAGGTTTAATCCTTAAAACATGCATATTTGTACATTTGCACTCGTGAGTGCCCTACATAAGTATTTATGTATATGGCATGCATGTTCATTATTTGTATATTTAAGTCCTTAACTAGGTGTAATCCTTAAAACATGCATATTTGTACATTTGCACTCGTGAGTGCCCTACATAAGTATTTATGTATACGCTTATTTTGATATGGCATGTTCATTATTTGTATATTTAAGTCATTTTGTATATTTCATGGCCATTATTATTATTTTTCAATTCTACACTTATAAACTAAGACCTGAAAATCCCTACAGGTGCACTCAAAAGTGCCATTTTGCATATTGCATGTATATGATAAAAAAAATCTTACCTTTACAGCATCTTCGTTCATGTAGCTTTTGTATTATAAGTAGAATTGTTCGACTGCTTGCAGTAATTTATCCGAGCTGGAGTATTCAGGCTTGTAGCAATAAGACGATATCATCACCTGAGAATGATATTCAAGGTTAGAGTTGATTGAAAATTTTATATATATATATATATATATATATATATATATATTAATATTTATATATATGTGTGCGTGTGCATTTATAAATATATTTTGTATATGGCATGTAAATTATTCGTATATTTAAGTCCTTAACTTATATACTGGGGTGTTATCTCTAAGACCTGAATAACCGTACATTTGCACACGTGAGTGCCCGACTTAATTATTTATGTATACGCTTATTTTGTATATGGCATGCATGTTCATTATTCGTATATTCAAGTCCTTAACCTATATGCTGGGGTGTTATCTCTAAGACCTGAATAACCGTACATTTGCACACGTGAGTGCCCGACTTAATTATTTATGTATACGCTTATTTTGTATATGGCATGTAAATTATTCGTATATTTAAGTCCTTAACTTATATACTGGGGTGTTATCTCTAAGACCTGAATAACCGTACATTTGCACACGTGAGTGCCCGACTTAATTATTTATGTATACGCTTTTTTGTATATGGCATGTAAAATTATTCGTATATTTAAGTCCTTAACTAGGTGTTATCATTAAACATGAATATTTGTACATTTGCACTCGTGAGTGCCCTACATAAGTATTTATGTATACGCTTATTTTGTATATGCATGCATGTTCATTATTCGTATATTTAAGTCCTTAACTTATATACTGGGGTGTTATCTCTAAGACCTGAATAACCGTACATTTGCACACGTGAGTGCCCGACTTAATTATTTATGTATACGCTTATTTTGTATATGGCATGTAAATTATTCGTATATTTAAGTCCTTAACTAGGTGTTATCATTAAAACATGAATATTTGTACATTTGCACTCGTGAGTGCCCTACATAAGTATTTATGTATACCCTTATTTTGTATATGGCATGCATGTTCATTATTTGTACATTTAAGTCCTTAACCTATATACTGGGGTGTTATCTCTAAGACCTGAATAACCGTACATTTGCACACGTGAGTGCCCGACTTAATTATTTATGTATACGCTTATTTTGTATATGGCATGTAAATTATTCGTATATTTAAGTCCTTAACTTATATACTGGGGTGTTATCTCTAAGACCTGAATAACCGTACATTTGCACACGTGAGTGCCCGACTTAATTATTTATGTATACGCTTATTTTGTATATGGCATGCATGTTCATTATTCGTATATTTAAGTCCTTAACTTATATACTGGGGTGTTATCTCTAAGACCTGAATAACCGTACATTTGCACACGTGAGTGCCCGACTTAATTATTTATGTATACGCTTATTTTGTAGACGGCATGTAAATTATTCGTATATTTAAGTCCTTAACCTATATACTGGGGTGTTATCTCTAAGACCTGAATAACCGTACATTTGCACACGTGAGTGCCCGACTTAATTATTTATGTATACGCTTATTTTGTATATGGCATGTAAATTATTCGTATATTTAAGTCCTTAACCTATATACTGGGGTGTTATCTCTAAGACCTGAATAACCGTAAATTTGCACACGGGGATGCCTTACTTAATTATTTGTTTATTTTGCATGCATCTTGTTAATAGCACTTATATAGTCATATACAAATTATTATTGTTGAAAAATATTGAAAAGTGAGGATGTGTTGGGATTGAAAGTTTTATAAAAAAAACTTGAAATTGAAAAGTGAGGATGTGTTGGGATTGGAAGTTTTATAAAAAAAAAACTTGAAATTGAAAAGTGAGGATATATTGAGATTGGAATAGTCATGTATTCTGATTGCTATTGAAAATAAAATTTAAAAAAAAAAAAAAAAATTGAGATTGGAAGTTTTATAAAAAAAAAAAAACTTGACATGAATAACAGTGAATGGAAAATAAATGAACGTCTTATGACAATGAAAGACTAAAAAATAAAAATTACAATGATTGAAAAAGAATTGCCAGTACTTTTGTCTCGATGTAAAAGCCCTCTTCGCACAAACGTAGGAAGGCGAATTTAGGTCCACTGATGGAACTGTAAACTTAACAATAATGTTTTTAGTCCGCCCCAGGGTACCGATTTAATTACCGGATTGCCATTACTTTTGTCTCGATGTAAGAGCGCCTATTCGCACGAACGTAGGCTGCCGAACTAACGGCCATACTGGCGGAACTAAACTTGTCAAAAGAAACGTTCTAGTTCGCTTCAGGATCCCGATATAATCAAGGACTCGATCATGAAAACGCTAAATTCCCACAGACCTAGGTTGTGGAATTTGTTGGGATTACAAGGAAGAACTAAAGCGCTGACAACCCTGCGTAATTAAATCATGAAATACTATATAAACTCAAGATAAAAGGAGACATCAAGATTACGGAAGCACAACTCCACGCCAGGGTCCGGATGTCCCATTCGCACAAACCTAGGTTGAGGAATTTGTTGGGATTACAAGGAAACTAAAGACCTGACAATTCTGCTTGAAGAGCAAAATTAAATCTTGAAATTGAATGAAAATTTAATGAAACAAAATGTCCGTTTGATCGATATCAAATTTAGGTTCTGAATTGAAATAACAAAAAAAAAATATATATATATATATATATATAACTAAGAAAAATGTTTTATAAATACTATTTTATATTTACTATAAATACTAAATCTTTATCTTTAAAATTGGAATGAATTACAAAAATATAAACTATTGAATAGGTAGGGGTTTGTAGGGAAAGGAAAGGTTTTGAGCACAAAAAAGATAACACTCGAGAGTGCCAATCGTATATTGCATGGCCATTATTATATTTCAGTTATACGCTTATAAGTTAAGACGCGAAAATCCCTACAGGTGCACTCGAGAGTATACCCCTATTTTGTATATTTCATGGCCATTATTATATTATTTCAATTCTATACGTATATTCTAAGATGCGAAAATCCCTACAGGTGCACTCGAGAGTGCCAGACTGAATTATTTTTAAATACGCTTACTTTGTATGCATTTTGTATATTGCATGGCCATTATTATCATAATTCAATTCTATACTTATGTACTAAAACTTGAAAATCCCTATAGCATTGTTCAAATATAGCCGAAAATTTGAATTCCCTACCTTTGTGTGAAACTCTCGATTGGAAAGAACAGAATTGCCCATCCTTTGGAGTAGAGATCAGCAAACCTTCTCGCCAGGGTCTTCTCGATATCACCAATGTTTGGCCTGCTTTTTTATATAAACTGGAGCAAGTAAGTTTTGACCTAAAAATAATTTTAATGATTAGATTATGTATAACAAAATATATTTATAACTTTATTGAATGCAGTTGTTTTATTATTTTGAATTATTAGGTTAATTATTTGAACTACATTCTTTAGTTGCAATTAAATTAATTAAATTTATTAAATAAAAAATATAAATTACATTTTGCTTTGAATTTGCAAAAACGAAAAGATACAGAAAAATTATAAAAAAAAATTATACAAAAACTGATTTAATTCATCATATAAAAATGGAGCTCTCGATCAAATGATTCGCTAAAACTCGAAAACGGCTGAACCGATTTGGCCAGTCCTAGTCTTGAAAAATTCGTGCTAATCAGTAGGTTGTCGGAAAGGTGAGATATTATTTCAAAATCGCGTAGAATCGCTTTACATTTTTAATTTGAAAATTTGTGTAGAAGCGTAATTTGAATAAAACAATGGACGGTGGCTAATACGTCAAATGTCAAATGTTTTTAGGTGAATATTATTAAATATTATATATATATATATACATATATATAAATATATATATTGTGTTTGGGAAGTATTCGTTCTTTTTTAACAATTTGCTGTTCTTTTTATCCTTTTAAATTTTTGCATTACTTGTCATTCCTTCTAAATTTGTCATTCCATCGTCAATATTCCTGCGCTTTTCACTTCTTAGTTTTTAAGTTTTTAATATATTATTATTAGTCATTAAGTAATTATTATTAATAAGTTATTAACTTCCCGTAGGGTAAGTTATTGTAATGGGCCGAAAATCGAAATTGAAAATTTTTACATTTCTCGACGCTTTGAAGGTTTCTGAACATTTTTAAGGGGCATACCTCAGAAAAAATGGATGTGTGTGTGTGTGTGTGTGTTTGAGTGTATATATATGTATGTTTACAATTTTCCACGTTTTACGGATCAACCGATTGAATGATGCATTTACCATTCGATTTCTATTGATAGGAAGATGTGCTGATTAGTTTTTGGCAAAGGCAGGTCCAGCAGTTACGGAGATAAAGAGCAAAGAGTGCAGAAAATAAAAATCGAGTTTTTGAGAGAACGGAGCATCCGATTTGAATGATCTAAAAAAACATTCAATTATAGTAATGATTGCGAGAAGTGGTTATTAGTTTTTGGCAAAGGCAAGTATATTTCATCGCCATTATTATTATTTTTCAATTCTACACTTATAAACTAAGACCTGAAAATCCCTACAGGTGCACTCAAAAGTGCCATTTTGCATATTGCATGTATATGATAAAAAAAATCTTACCTTTACAGCATCTTCGTTCATGTATCTTTTGTATTATAAGTAGAATTGTTTGACTGCTTGTAGTAATTTATCCGAGCTGGAGCATTCAGGCTTGTAGCAATAAGACGATATCATCACCTGAGAATGATATTTAAGGTTAGAGTTGATTGAAAATTTATATATATATATATATATATATATATATATATATATTAATATTTATATATATATGTGCGTGTGTATTTATAAATATATTTTGTATATGGCATGTTCATTATTTGTATATTTAGGTCCTTAACTTATATACTAGGTACTCAATTATTTATGTATACGCTTATTTTGTATATGGCATGCATGTTCATTATTTGTATATTTAAGTCCTTAACTAGGTGTTATCATTAAAACATGAATATTTGTACATTTGCACTCGTGAGTGCCTGACTTAATTATTTATGTATACGCTTATTTTGTATATGGCATGCATGTTCATTATTTGTATATTTAAGTCCTTAACTAGGTGTTATCATTAAAACATGAATATTTGTACATTTGCACTCGTAAGAGCTTGACTTAATTATTTATGTATACGCTTATTTTGTATATGGCATGCATGTTCATTATTTGTATATTTAAGTCCTTAACTAGGTGTTATCATTAAAACATGAATATTTGTACATTTGCACTCGTGAGAGCCTGACTTAATTATTTATGTATACGCTTATTTTGTATATGGCATGCATGTTCATTATTTGTATATTTAAGTCCTTAACTAGGTGTTATCATTAAAACATGAATATTTGTACATTTGCACTCGTGAGAGCCTGACTTAATTATTTATGTATACGCTTATTTTGTATATGGCATGCATGTTCATTATTTGTATATTTAAGTCCTTAACTAGGTGTTATCATTAAAACATGAATATTTGTACATTTGCACTCGTGAGTGCCTGACTTAATTATTTATGTATACGCTTATTTTGTATATGGCATGCATGTTCATTATTTGTATATTTAAGTCCTTAACTAGGTGTTATCATTAAAACATGAATATTTGTACATTTGCACTCGTGAGAGCCTGACTTAATTATTTATGTATACGCTTATTTTGTATATGGCATGCATGTTCATTATTTGTATATTTAAGTCCTTAACTAGGTGTTATCATTAAAACATGAATATTTGAACATTTGCAATCGTGAGAGCCTGACTTAATTATTTATGTATACGCTTATTTTGTATATGGCATGCATGTTCATTATTTGTATATTTAAGTCCTTAACTAGGTGTAATCCTTAAAACATGCATATTTGTACATTTGCACTCGTGAGTGCCCTACATAAGTATTTATGTATACGCTTATTTTGTATATGGCATGCATGTTCATTATTTGTATATTTAAGTCCTTAACTAGGTGTAATCCTTAAAACATGCATATTTGTACATTTGCACTCGTGAGTGCCCTACATAAGTATTTATGTATACGCTTATTTTGTATATGGCATGCATGTTCATTATTTGTATATTTAAGTCCTTAACTAGGTGTAATCCTTAAAATATGCATATTTGTACATTTGCACTCGTGAGTGCCCTACATAAGTATTTATGTATACGCTTATTTTGTATATGGCATGCATGTTCATTATTTGTATATTTAAGTCCTTAACTAGGTGTAATCCTTAAAACATGCATATTTGTACATTTGCACTCGTGAGTGCCCTACATAAGTATTTATGTATACGCTTATTTTGTATATGGCATGCATGTTCATTATTTGTATATTTAAGTCCTTAACTAGGTGTTATCATTAAAACATGAATATTTGTACATTTGCACTCGTGAGTGCCTGACTTAATTATTTATGTATACGCTTATTTTGTATATGGCATGCATGTTCATTATTTGTATATTTAAGTCCTTAACTAGGTGTAATCCTTAAAACATGAATATTTGTACATTTGCACTCGTGAGTGCCCTACTTAATTATTTATGTATACGCTTATTTTGTATATGGCATGCATGTTCATTATTTGTATATTTAAGTCCTTAACTAGGTGTTATCCTTAAAACATGAATATTTGTACATTTGCACTCGTGAGTGCCCTACATAAGTATTTATGTATACGCTTATTTTGTATATGGCATGCATGTTCATTATTTGTATATTTAAGTCCTTAACTAGGTGTTATCATTAAAACATGATATTTGTACATTTGCACTCGTGAGAGCCTGACTTAATTATTTATGTATACGCTTATTTGTATATGGCATGCATGTTCATTATTTGTATATTTAAGTCCTTAACTAGGTGTTATCATTAAAACATGAATATTTGTACATTTGCACTCGTGAGTGCCTGACTTAATTATTTATGTATACGCTTATTTTGTATATGGCATGCATGTTCATTATTTGTATATTTAAGTCCTTAACTAGGTGTTATCATTAAAACATGAATATTTGTACATTTGCAATCGTGAGAGCCTGACTTAATTATTTATGTATACGCTTATTTTGTATATGGCATGCATGTTCATTATTTGTATATTTAAGTCCTTAACTAGGTGTAATCAAAACATGCATATTTGTACATTTGCACTCGTGAGTGCCCTACATAAGTATTTATGTATACGCTTATTTTGTATATGGCATGCATGTTCATTATTTGTATATTTAAGTCCTTAACTAGGTGTAATCCTTAAAATATGCATATTTGTACATTTGCACTCGTGAGTGCCCTACATAAGTATTTATGTATACGCTTATTTTGTATATGGCATGCATGTTCATTATTTGTATATTTAAGTCCTTAACTAGGTGTAATCCTTAAATATGCATATTTGTACATTTGCACTCGTGAGTGCCCTACATAAGTATTTATGTATACGCTTATTTTGTATATGGCATGCATGTTCATTATTTGTATATTTAAGTCCTTAACTAGGTGTAATCCTTAAAACATGATATTTGTACATTTGCACTCGTGAGTGCCCTACATAAGTATTTATGTATACGCTTATTTTGTATATGGCATGCATGTTCATTATTTGTATATTTAAGTCCTTAACTTATATACTAGGTACTTAATTATTTATGTATACGCTTATTTTGTATATGGCATGCATGTTCATTATTTGTATATTTAAGTCCTTAACTAGGTGTAATCCTTAAAACATGCATATTTGTACATTTGTACTCGTGAGTGCCCTACATAAGTATTTATGTATACGCTTATTTTGTATATGGCATGCATGTTCATTATTTGTATATTTAAGTCCTTAACTTATATACTAAGGGTAATCCTTAAAACATGAATATTTGTACATTTGCACTCGTGAGTGCCCTACATAAGTATTTATGTATACGCTTATTTTGTATATGGCATGCATGTTCATTATTTGTATATTTAAGTCCTTAACTAGGTGTAATCCTTAAAATATGCATATTTGTACATTTGCACTCGTGAGTGCCCTACATAAGTATTTATGTATACGCTTATTTTGTATATGGCATGCATGTTCATTATTTGTATATTTAAGTCCTTAACTAGGTGTAATCCTTAAAACATGATTATTTGTACATTTGCACTCGTGAGTGCCCTACATAAGTATTTATGTATACGCTTATTTTGTATATGGCATGCATGTTCATTATTTGTATATTTAAGTCCTTAACTATATACTAGGTACTTAATTATTTTATGTAACGCTTATTTTGTATATGGGCATGCATGTTCATTATTTGTATATTTAAGTCCTTAACTAGGTGTAATCCTTAAACATGCATATTTGTACATTTGTACTCGTGAGTGCCCTACATAAGTATTTATGTATACGCTTATTTGTATATGGCATGCATGTTCATTATTTGTATATTTAAGTCCTTAACTTATATACTAAGGGTAATCCTTAAAACATGAATATTTGTACATTTGCACTCGTGAGTGCCCTACATAAGTATTTATGTATACGCTTATTTTGTATATGGCATGCATGTTCATTATTTGTATATTTAAGTCCTTAACTTATATACTAGGTCTTAATATTTATGTATACGCTTATTTTGTATATGGCATTCATGTTCATTATTTGTATATTTAAGTCCTTAACTAGGTGTGATCCTTAAAACATGCATAATTGTACATTTGTACTCGTGAGTGCCCTACATAAGTATTTATGTATACGCTTATTTTGTATATGGCATGCATGTTCATTATTTGTATATTTAAGTCCTTAACTAGGTGTAATCCTTAAAACATGAATATTTGTACATTTGCACTCGTGAGTGCCCTACATAAGTATTTATGTATACGCTTATTGTTGTATATGGCATGCATGTTCATTATTTGTATATTTAAGTCCTTAACTTATATACTAGGTACTTAATTATTTATGTATACGCTTATTTTGTATATGGCATGCAGTTCATTATTTGTATATTTAAGTCCTTAACTAGGTGTAATCCTTAAAACATGCATATTTGTACATTTGTACTCGTGAGTGCCCTACATAAGTATTTATGTATACGCTTATTTTGTATATGGCATGCATGTTCATTATTTATATTTAAGTCCTTAACTTATATACTAGGTACTTAATTATTTATGTATATACTTATTTTGTATATGGCATGCATGTTCATTATTTGTATATTTAAGTCCTTAACTAGGTGTAATCCTTAAAACATGCATATTTGTACATTTGTACTCGTGAGTGCCCTACATAAGTATTTATGTATACGCTTATTTTGTATATGGCATGCATGTTCATTATTTGTATATTTAAGTCCTTAACTTATACTAGGGTAATCCTTAAAACATGAATATTTGTACATTTGCACTCGTGAGTGCCCTACATAAGTATTTATGTATACGCTTATTTTGTATATGGCATGCATGTTCATTATTTGTATATTTAAGTCCTTAACTAGGTGTAATCCTTAAAACATGCATATTTGTACATTTGCACTCGTGAGTGCCCTACATAAGTATTTATGTATACGCTTATTTTGTATATGGCATGCATGTTCATTATTTGTATATTTAGTTTAACTAATCCTTAAACTTATATACTAGGAGTACTTAATTATTTATGTATACGCTTATTTTGTATATGGCATGCATGTTCATTATTTGTATATTT